AAAGTGGACAGTTAGTCAATGGCAGAACCAGGACTTGACTCCCAGTGATCTGGTTCCAGTTTGTGCTATCAACCACTACACACCCCAAGTCCTCCAAATAATGTTAGCACAGTCGTTTAAATGCCACAGCTCCAAGTATAATTCCAAAATGACTCCTTTTTCTTCATTTACAAAATAAGGTTCTTCACTACCCTAGCAATACCGGAGCATCGCACAGCAACCTGGTCTGACAGTAGTCATCCTCCCCATTTCAGAGTTGAGGAGACTAAGCCTCAGAGAGGTTGAGGGAATTTCCTAAAGTCATACATTTCACGAATGACAGGGTCAGCATTGGAATTCGACTCTAACACCCTTAACGTTTATACTTGGAACGCACATATTGGGATGCCTGGGTGGCTCAGTCGTTAAGTGTCTGCCTTTGGCCCAGCTCATGATCCCAGGGTCCTGGGATCGAGCCCCGCATCAGGCTCCCTGCTAAGTGGGGAGCCTGCTTCTCCCTCTCCCACTCCCCCTGCTTGTGTTCCCTTTCTCGCTGTGTCTCTGTCAAATAAAATCTTAAACAAAAACAAAAAAAACCCCACACATTGGGGCATCTGGGTGGCCTCAGTCAGTTAGGCATCCGACTCTTGATCTCAGCTCAGGTCTTGATCTCAGGGTTGTGAGTTCAAGCCCTGCACTGGGCTCCACACTCAGCATGGAGTCTACTTACAAACAAACAAACCACACACACAGTTGTATATTTATTTGGCAGTGGGAAGAAACAATAGAAATCTACTCTTCTTTACTGTCTTGTCCTATGAAACTGTTTCTACAGTTCAAATGTTTTTGGGGCGCCTGGGTGGCTCAGTCGGTTAGGCATCCGACTCTTGGTTTCAGCTCAGGTCACAATCTCAGGCTCATCAGATTGAGCCCCGTGTCAGGCTCCACGCTCAGTGCAGTCTGCTGGTCCCTTTCCCTACCCCTCTGCCCCTCCCCCCTCAAATAAATAAATCTTAAAAAAGTTTCTGCTAAATAACATTAGGTTTTGAACTTTTAGAGTAAGTGTCAAAGAAAATGGCACAGTCCGTCAGTCGTCTCCTTTTGGGTTGTATCTCACAAATATCATCCAAACATGAAGTGTTTCCTTATATACAAAACGTAACAGCTGCTATACTAACCTCACAGGATTATTACATGGATCAAAAGAACAACAGAACGTAGATGTGATTTGTTATACATTAAAGGATGTTGTATGAAGACAATAAACAAAGTTCCAAATCCTCCCCTTAACAGCCGGGTAGTTTTAGGTGTTACGAATTTCCATCTTTGTAAAATGCAAGATAAATGCACCACATATAGAAATACTGGAAGGACAAATGGACAACATACTGAAAGCACTTGGGAAAGTAGTTTGTTCAGATGAATCCTGGATATGTGTTTATGACAAAAATAAATATGTTGGCCTTTTTTCTAAGAGTACTTTCTTCTTTGTCCAGAATTTGACCTTGTTCATTTCATAGGTAACAAAGTAAGAGCTATTCATAGTACATTAGATGGGAAACATTGATAAAATACTATAGTCACTAAATTCTGTGGATGTTTGCTCTGGAAGGAGCTTTTGGAGGACATCCTTTCCAGTTTTCTGGTTTCTTAGATGAAGAAACAAAATTCTCAATCTGGAAATCCTCAAGCCTTCTGAAGCTCAGACTTCAGAAGTGGGGAGGTGGGCAGAACTCTAGTTCACTGGGTGCACATGCCCCACTTTGAGGAGGGTATAAAATTGTTCTTTTCTCACCCTTTTTGAACATTTTCTTCCAAAGCCCAAGTGGTAATAGCAAGGTGGAAAGAGAATTGGCAACAGTGGCCGTAGGGACACAAAACCACTTATACCGCTTGGAGGGAGAGGCACCAGGGAGAAAAGGTCACCATGTCACGATGACTTCCCTGAAAAGCCACTGCCATCATGGGACACACTGCCATACTGACAAAGGCCATCTAATTGGAGTGAATGAGAAGATGCTCATGGTGTGATATGGACCTTTTAGACTAAATAACCAAAAACTGTTTCAGGAACAGAAACCTTCTTGTTCTCGGCTGTTTAAAATACAGTAATACAGGATCACAGAAACTTAGAACTGGAAAGGAATTAAGGAATCACTAGCACTACTAATACATAGATGAGGAAGTAGGTCCACGGTCAGACAGCAGACTGAGGGCTAGAGATTGAGACTTGTGACTTGCGATCCTCCAGTCTTGTAGATCTGCTCAAGGAGCTGACCTGCAGGCTCTGCCTGAGTCTGATGTAACTCCAAGATGCTTACTTAGCCCAGGAACCGTTAGGTAGTGACTGACCATCTATTATTATATGCCACCTGGAACCGCTCCTTCTATTCAGAGGGACAAGGTTGCAAACACTGAACAAGTATAAAATTAAGGCTGCAAAGGTTTAAAGTTAACTAAGGAGGCATAGTTTATTTTATTTTATAAAGATATTTTTTAAATTTATTTATTTGACAGAGAGAGAGAGAGAGAGCACAAGCAGGTGGAATAGGCAGAGAGAGAGGGAGAAGCAGGCTCCCCGCCAAGCCAGAAGCCCGATGTGGGGCTCGATCCCAGGACCCCAGGATCATGACCCGAGCCAAAGGCAGTCGCCTAACCAACTGAGCCACCCAGGTGCCCCATAAGGAGGCATAGTTTAAAGACCACTGAAGGCTGGAAGGGTTAGGGAAGCTTTGAGAAAATGTGACTTGAGCTGTGCTTTCAAGCAGAGCTTTCTGACCGGCAACCTGTGGACAAGATTCAGCCCACCCACAATTTGTTTGTATTCCACTGTGATGACCCATAGTGGGTTGTTGTTGTTGTTTTTCCCCCCCAAACTCGGGAGCTTTCATATGAAAATCCCAATTTTGGAGTATCACAAAAACTGCAACACTAGGCATATATTCACTTTAGCAATAAGGGCAAGAGCTGAAAGGCATAAATCCTCAGCTAAACACCCACAGTTCATTCTCATTACGCCCCTGACTCCTTGGGCGGTGAACGTGCTATTCATGTTTTGGGAAATGGGAAAGACAGCGCAGATAGGAGAATAAGACACAAAAGTGAAGAGGAATGGGTATGTTATAGGGTGGGGGAGTTGCCTTCCGAAGGGGAAAGCCATGTTTCCTAGGCCAAGACACATACCTGACTCTAGTATGAGAGTTTGGTGAGAGCCTGGTGCAACCATCTCAGTAAATAAACAAAGTGTGTGCTGCTCGTAAGTCAAGAATGCCAACTTCACATACAAAAGGCAACATACTCATTCTCCTTCTACTCAGTATCTTCATTTTGGCATATTTAAAAATACAACTTTTTTTTTTTAAAAGATTTTATTTGTCAGAGAGAGAGAGAGATCGCACAAGCAGGGGGAGCAGCAGGCAGAGGGAGAAGCTGGCTCCCACTGAGCAAGGAGCCCTATGCGGGACTCAATCCTAGGGTCCTGGGATCATGACCTGAGATGAAGGCAGATGCTTAACCAACTGAGCCACCCAGGCATCCCAAAACACAAACATTTTAAAATTCACACAAAATTGTAACAAATTATAAATTTATTATAAATGAAAAGAAACATAATTTGTATCTCATAATTACAACTGACTTGCTTTTACTGAACCCCATTATATAGCACTGGTGGTTAAGAGGTATAGTTACTCTGTTTCTCTTAGTCAAGTCTGTACCCTACTTGGCTTAATATATCCCAAGAGCTCTTCCTATTCTGGATTCAGTTCTTCCATTAGACTCACAGTATTCCAGTGCACATTTTCACAATCAATGCCCCAAACAGCGCATGATATTCAAAGGCGTCCATGGGGGAAAAAAAAAAAAAAGAGCCCTATGTCTGCCTGGAAATTCATCCTAACAAAAGGTAAAGAGATTCTTATAGACAGTTTTTGCTTGGAGGACAATTCAAATTTACAAACTGGGCCTAACAATAAAAAAGGCTAAGAAGCACCACCCCAACTATGCTGCTATGTATTCATTTGAAGAGCTACTATTCAAACCATGGTTCTTGGCCTAGTCTCCATTACCTCTACTTTCTGTTAAATACCCAGAGAAAAATATTACTGCTTAGAATACTTAGGAAGCTCACAGACAATCTCTTCCTTTTAGGTCAAGTTTACCATGCTATAATGATATTTGGCACCACCCAGTGGCAATCTTTTCTCATCTATGTGTGAATAAATAGCAACTTTGCAAACTCTTGTCATGGCAACAAAGAATACCTCAATCAATGAATAGACAATAGAATAACGCTGCAAATCAAACAAAAGAAGTTTCATTTTTTTTTTAGTTACCTCCTTTGAAAAGTTCAGATCATTTTAACATGGTTTTCCCACAACGAAGATCTTAGGTAATTTAAAAAAAAAAGAAATGTTAAAACAATTATTTTCTTCTCTAAATGTATAAATATACTGGCTTTAATATAAAATTACATGTTAGAAGGAAGGGCCCATTTGTAAGGGTATTTAATTTTTCTTATGGGAAAACAGTAAGTGTCCATACATTAGTGCTTTAAAATGTGAGAGAGAGAAACTCAGAGCTCTTTCTAGAGAAGTCTCCCAATTGTTAAACTATAATTATTTCTTCTAAGAAAATCAAGTGGAATACAGGATGGCTCTGTCCCACAGGAATCTAAAACACCACCTCTCTTAATGTATATATAGAAAATTGGGGCGCCTGGGTGGCTCAGTCGTTAAGCAGCTGCCTTCGGCTCAGGTCATGATCCCAGGGTCCTGGGATCGAGCCCTACATCGGGCTCCCTGCTCAGCGGGGAGCCTACTTCTCCCTCTCTCTCTGCTGCTCCCCACTTGTGCTCTCTTACTCTGTCGAATAAATGAATAAAATCTTAAAAAAAAAAGTTCTGTTCTGCAAATCTCCATATTATCAACAGATACTGTAGAATTTATATCATGGGATCTTCTGAAAAGAGGAAAAAACAGTTCTTCATAGGAGGGAGTTTTAGGAGGGAGTTTTAGGAGGGGATTTTTGTTTTGTTTTTTTGGTATCTTAAATGTCAATGATCACAAAAACTTCTGGCTTCTCTTCATTATAGACCTGCATTGCTGAGTAGGTTATTGCCTTGACTTCAGTTCCCTAAAGCAGGGGTTAGAGAAAAAACAAGAAAGAAAAAGTGAACATCGAAATCAGAATTATTAATTCTAGCAACAATTGGCAGAAAGGCCAAATTTTACTATTACTCTGAAAAACTAAAAAGCCACATGAAACAAGTAGCTACTTATATAGCATTCTCCACTCATCCAGCAACAATGCAACGTGTGCACAGGGAAAGTGAGCCGGCTGGGCGGTTAAGAGCTGCAGCTCGAGGCCTGGCTTTGTTCCCGCCTGGCTACGGAGGTTGACCTCTCCAGCACCTGCTTTCCCATTTACCAAATGGCTTGAGTGGAGGAGCCCAAAGCTCTCCTACTGCCTGGCTCAGGGCTCCTCAAGACCTCCTGCTTGCAGTGTGACCCGGGCCTGAGGAACACAGACTCTTCTCTCCTCCTCCGCTGCCCACTCACTTTATCATGGGGTTCTCTCTCCATGTGTTTGATAACCCAGCCCCGGTTTAGAACCCCAGGATTAGACATCCTCTTAGTTCCTTCCTGTTCTAGAAAAGAATCTACAAGAATTCTGTGTAGTGCAAAATGTCTCGGGCAATAGGTGACTGGCATTTGCTAGCTCCGTGGCACAAAAGAAATCTGACGATTTTGCAGACAGATTTGAAAAGCACCCACTTTTGTTTTTCCCTCTGCCCTAATCACCTGGTGAAACCACAACCTAAATCCAGTTCAACTTTCTGCCTACAGCAGCACGCACCATGCTAAACTGGTATCACCTGAAATCATGTCCACAGTCTCAGAAGGGTCCTCAACCTACACTTGAGACCTTCTCACCCTCTGAAAGCATGACTTTCCATCTTTACCACCAGCATCCCTCCCTCATCCTCACCCTCAGGCTGTGCCTCCTAGAGAACACAGGAGCGATCAGGAAGAACTGGCTCATCTTCTCCCATCAAATCTACCATCTCCTGCGTCTCGACTCACATGAGCTTTGCCTCCTGTTACAACGAACAGCCCGGCCCTGCTCCTATCAGAAGGCTGACCCCTGACCCTGAACACTCTGTCCCCTACCCCCCTTACCAACTTAAGGTCTTTGCTCTGAAATTATTCTCTCCCTCTCCAGCATGATCCATTTGCCCTGAGTTCCTAGATCACTTCCACGTAGACTACACTACTCCTCGCTGCTACAAACCTCTTTGCCAAAACAAGACAAAACAACTTTTCCCTTCCCCACCACATTCCCCTCTGGCTATTACGGGTCTATCCAATATGTTCCCTTTTTCTGCAAACTCTTTGAAAGAATCGTCTCAATATGCTGCCCCCACTTCCCTCTCTCTCATTCATTCGCTCTCTGACCCACACATCTTTCCACTGATTAGTAAATCCAAGGTCAACTGTCAGTCCTCATCTCACTCTGAGCAGACTCAAGGGCATGTGATATCTGGCTTTAGGGCACCCTTCTTTTGCTCCCTCTCATGAGGCTCTCCTTCTCCTTTCCGTTCTGGCTCTGTCCCTTCCAAAGTTGGGGGCCCACAGCTCAGTCCTCTCCATACTCTCTCGTATCTGTAGCTCCCTCCTTGGTAATCTTATCTAGTCCTATGACTATAAATACCGTCCATTCAGTGATGGCTTCCAGACTGAGATCTCCAGATCCACCTATCTCCCAAACAAGTCATCCTACAGACAAGTGCCTATTATGCGACATCTCCATTTAGATATCTAATATACACCTCAAACATAGTATGTTCAAAAGAAAGTTCCACTGTGTCTTTTGTATTATAGTTCACTTGGCCCCCTCTCCTGGTTTCTCTTCTTTACTGCTTCTCTCCCAAGGTTTCCTCACCAGGCTTCACTTCATCATGTTGTGCTTGAAGAAATGATACCGCAACTCCTAGAAGCAACCAGGAGTCCTCAGTCACCCTGAACTAATTTAGGTCTCCTTGGCCTAAACACAGGGGTCAGCAAACTGCAAATCACGGGCCAAATCCAGCCGGCTACCTGGTTTTGTACAGCCCCCCCCTCCACCGCCGCCCCACTAAGAATGGCTTTTACTTTTCTAAATGGTTGGGGGAAAAAAAAACCCACGAAAGAATATCTCATGACATTTGAAAATGATACGAAATTCAGATTTCAGTGGCCATGACGTTTTACTGGAATACAGCCACAGTCGTTCATCTCTGTGCTGTCTGTGGTAGCTGCAGTGGTCAATAGAGGAGCTGAATATTGCTCTTCTATCACTCTTGTTCCACGAAGCTTCAAACATGATCTAGCCTTTACAGAAAGCATGTGCCTGCCCCTATTCCTCCATACAGATCTGACTGGTATAGAGTAAAGCCATACAGGGTGGCAAATACAGAATCTGGAGATGCACAGAAAGTAGGTGCTTTAGAGAACATTCAGTCCAACACCTTCATTAAAGGGAGAGACACAGAAGCTCGAAAAGGCAAAGGGACTTTTAAGTCTTACAAAAATCTGTAACAAGCCTGACCCTAGAACCCAAGTACTGACTCCTAATCCACCAAGTCAGATGTGTGAAGTCCCAGTGTTTAGACATAACAGGGTCAGAGAAGTCTGAGGAAACCTTACGACTTTACACCAATTTATTAGAACTCACTGAGGTTTACCATCATATACTGACTTTATGGTAAGGAAGTATAAAATGTTTTTTAATCACTGGATTTAAAAACATACCTGAGGGTGCTTGGACAATGAAAATTCTTCTCCCCACCTTGAGAAGGAAAATTAAAACATGATTAAGACTTCCAAGATTTAATATTTATTTATCCTTTACATATTTTAAAATAAACCTTATCAATGTGGTTAAGATATGAGAAACCAAAAGAGATGGGGGGTAAGGCAGCTATTAATTTCAGTTTGACTGCCAGTAAATACAGCTGTTGAGGGACTTATGTGCTATAGCTATTTCAACAAGGTTGATGGTTGCCGTAAAAAAAAAAAAAGTGCCCTTGTATAGTGTGCATGTGGTAGATTCTCAATATACATTGTTTAATGACTATTGTTTTATAATAGAGTAGCATGTTCAAAATTTTCACTGTACTCAAAGCTACAGAACTAATTAATTACTATCTCCTATTGCAGAAAGCAGGTCTGAGTACTGCAGAGGCAAAATACTACATGCTGTAATATTATTATCTTAAATCGGTTTGCATTTTATAACTTTTCAGAAAATGTCCGTGGCCTGTATATAGAAGGCCCTAGAAAGGTACTCTCCTAGAACCTGGGATAAGTATCTCCTCTCCCTTTAACACGAATGTGACTAGAGATCACAGGAGGAGAAGCAGTAGTGGTAGCAGAAAGAACAAAGCTTTGTGGGTTTTTTTTAATGATTTATTTATTCGAGAGAAGAGGGAGAGAGCAGGGCTCAGGTGGGTGCAGAGGGAGAGGGAGAGGGAGAGAGAATCCCAAGCAGACTCTGCCAAGCGTGGAGCCCAACAGAGGGCTTGGTCCCATCTCGAGATTATGACCTGAGCCAAAACCAAGAGTCCGACGCTCAAGTGACTGTGCCACCCAGACACCCTGAAAGAACAAAGCTTTAAAATTCTGTTCAACTATGTATTAGCTAAGTACCCTTGGAGAAGCCGGATTCCTTACCCATTTAAAAAAAAAAGAAAAAAGAAAAGGAGGGAAATAATAAAAGACCTCATTTTACAAAAAGAAACAAATCAAATTCAACATAAAGTGGAAGAAATGGACTTTATATAGAAATAACCTAAAAGATATCCTTAAGTGACTGAAGAGATTCGGGAAACACCAAGTCCAATCAAAGAGATCTAATCAAGTGTTTGAAACTCTAGCAGGAAAAGTATAATTTGTTAACAGAAGGAACCAGTTTGAAAAGAGTCCAGGTGTGAGGATCTACAAAAAGGATGCATCAGTGCTTCCTGTCACCCAGCCAGGCTTCATGCAAAAAAATTTTACACTAAAAATCAATAAATTGGGAATCAGGTTCAAGAACCAGTACCAATTCCATTCTGACAAATTTCTGGTCCTCCAAAGCTGAGGACCAAAACCCTTGCTCCTAGGGCTCATAAAGCTTAACCTGCAGAGCTCCACTGGGATGCGACTGGACCTCTGACTTCATATTTTTGTCTTCCGGCATCCTAGGTTCAGTGCAGAATTTTAACAACCTTCATGACTTGCTACTTAAAAGATTTTCATATACGTGCTGCCGAAGCGAGCACAAAAAGATTTTCAAAACATACCCAATTGACCGTAATTTGAAATTTCTTTGATCAATCTGAAGTACTTTCACTTCCTAAAGAGGAAAAAAAAATTTAATTTTAAAAAATGTTTGTAACATACCATCTACTAAAACATGTCTAATAATTGTCAAAACACTATGTTGTACACCTGAAACTAATATTGTATATCAACTATACTTTAAATTTGCAGTAACATGTCTAGGTTATCCCCTTTCCTAGAGAATAATAGCATACTACTTCTCTGAAGCCAAGAAAATTGAAATGTTAACTAAAGTAGAACAAATGAAATATATTTCAAGGAAATAAGGCTTTCTCTTACATATTCAAGGGAAATATTCTTGAAAAATGTACAATCTAAAAACATGAGTCAAGAAATTTCTCTGTAAAACAGAATAGGATGATACAGGATTTCAATCATTCTCAGCCCATTTGTAAATAACACTGTAGGCTCTTGACCTCTGTAAGACAAGTGACCAGTTAGAAGAGTGTATGTAGTGGGGCTGGGAAGGGAGAGAATGGAGGGGTATGGAAGCAAGGAGGGCCCTGTGTGTTAGGTTAACAATGATGTTGGAGAGGGGTTCCCTTCTCAAGGTTGATGGCAACAAGCAATATGCATTTGGCTTTTCCTTTTTCATGTTAAGGAAAGCTGAGAACAATTTTTAAATTTAGGCCAACATGGCAGAACTACTAAATTTCGCATGGGACAAGGGAACACATGGATGGACATAAATATAGTTCAAACTTGGGAGACATAAAAAGTGTGGGTGAAGACAGCAGGTGCATTCTTATCACACAATCTTGATTAGTGACAAGTATATGGTAAGAGATCTAAATATTACAAAATGCATATACATAGGGCAAGTCAGGTTAACCAAGAAGTCCCTATTTTCTTCAAATCAGTATCATCTTATGTATCCATATGGCTTGGTTTTGCATCATGTGTTCTATTCTCAATCACTTTTTCTTTTAAAATCTGAACTAAGAACCCACTGCTCAGTAAAAAAAGAAAAACCCTTGCTTACCCGGGGTATAAAGAATTCATCAGCACTGAACTTATAAAGCCACTCATCCAAAAAGTGAAACAGCAGAGACTGTAAGTCATCTCCTACATAGGATCAAGAAGAATCATGATAGTATGAGGTTTAATAATTCTTGTCTCTAAAAACTTGTTTGAATTTAAAAGTGCAAGGAATGGGGTGCCTGGGTGGCTCAGTCATTAAGCGTCTGCCTTCGGCTCAGGTCATGATCCCAGGGTCCTGGGATCGAGCCCCGCATCGGGCTCCCTGCTCCGCAGGAAGCCTGCTTCTCCTTCTCCCACTCCCCCGCTTGTGTTCCCTCTCTCGCTGTGTCTCTCTCTGTCAAATAAATAAAATCTTAAAACAAAAAAACAAATAGTTTAAAAAATAATAAAATAAAATAAGAGTGCAATTTCTTAGGCTAGCCAAAAGAGGAAGAACAGTCTCATAATTAATTTTGTCGTTCTTATTGTGAAAATGTACTTAAGTTATGTAGAACACTGTACATCTGCATGACAATTTCTTCCCTGTGAATAAATTGGTTACCTTGGGTTTCTACTTCTACTGTTTGCAGGGGCTCCACAGTCCCAGTATCTGTCATGTAACCAAACATGGCCATTGCACATTGTTCAAATGCTTCCTCCAGAGTATCTCCCCACGCATGTAACCTAAGGAAATACATTTATGCCCTGTGTAATCAAATCTACAGCAAGAGAGAAAACTTACAGCAAGGTCAAAATAAAATCAGCATGATAAATACAAATCCAAAGGCCTCAATCAATCTAATGGCATGGAAACCAGGTTCTTTTAAATCATCATTTTCATGTTGTAAAGGAACCAAAATAGGAAGAGAGAATTAAAACTAGGGACAGCAAGATTAAAACATCAGACTTCCTATTTAAGAACATGATTTCAAAGGCATAAATTGCAGGTGTACTCACTGGACATCTGCTGTATGATCCAAATCTGAGGGAAAGAGGGAAAAATACATTATGTCATTAAACTTGACTAGCAAATCACAAGAAACTCTAGTTCATTATTAAGAACATTATCCTTTGGGGCGCCTGGGTGGCTCAGTTGGTTGCTTTCAGCTCAAGTCATAATCCCAGGGTCCTAGGATGGAGCCACCGCATTGGGCGCCAAACTTAGCGAGGAGCCTGCTTCTCCCTCTCCTTCTGCCCCTCCCCTGCTCATTTTCTCTCCCTCTCAAATACATAAATAAAATCTTAAAAAAAAAAAAATTATCCTTCAAAAGCAAGAAAATGTGGGGCAAACCTCACCTTTTGCTATCCATTTACATAAGAAAGTTAATTGCTTTCTTTTTTTTTTTTTAAGATTTTATTTATTTATTAGAGAGAGAGAATGAGAGATAGAGAGCACGAGAGGGAAGAGGGTGAGAGGGAGAAGCAGACTCCCCACAGAGCAGGGAGCCCGATGTGGGACTCGATCCCGGGACTCCAGGATCATGACCTGAGCCGAAGGCAGTCGCTTAACCAACTGAGCCACCCAGGCGCCCAAGTTAATTGCTTTCTTAAAGGTTACTTCTTAAAAGGTCAAGATTTGTATTTAAATAACAATTTCTAGGAGGCAGCAGGGCCAGGAGCTTCAAGGTGGTCTAAAGTGTCTAATACATTGTAGTATCTCAATAATGCCATTTCCTGCCATTTGTTACTTTTCCTCAACAATCAGTACCTTTTCTAAAATCTGCTGTGTAAATGGTCAAAATTCTAGGAACCACTTCATCAAAGATATAAAATTTCAGATTTCTCTGTCTTACCTTTTCATGAACAGCTAACCAAATCCTATAAAAAACAGGTTTGTCTTTTTAAAATAAGAGCCAAGTTTTTTATTCGTTGATTTCTTTCATTTGAAGTCTCCTCAATGATACCCTTGGCTAATAAAGTGGTTTTAGAAAGTAAACTCTGCAATATGTTTGTGAGCTTTTTCCTGATATCCCCACCTAAAATTAACAACCGCTCCTATCACAAACTCCCACTGGATCTGTATCTCAACGTTTCACAGTCTATTCTTCACTGGTATCATGACTTCTATCAGTTCTTCCCACTTGGGATCATAGAATAGTCAGGCTAGAAGGAAGCTGTGTGGCTCACTTATTATAATTCCCTCACTTACAAGAAGAAACCTGGGGTGCCTGGCTGGCTTGGTCTGTAGAGTATGCAACACTTGGTCATGATCATGAGTTCAAGCCCCATTTCGGTGTAGAGAATTATTTAAAAAAAATTTTTTTTTTCAAAAAGGAAAAAACCTGAAATCCAAAGAGATCGTGTGACTTGTTAAAGACTACTGTTGATTAGAGGCAAAGGTGGGCATAGAATTGAGAAGTCCCGAGCACCAGGCTAGTAGACTTTGCACCATAACATATAGTCTTCTGGTGGCACTCAAGGTTCAAATCCGTCTTTAATTCATTCAAAAATATTCTTGTGGACTTAATATGTTTGAGGCACTAGGAGATGACCAGGAGAGAAGATAAACAAGTTAAACGAAAAGGTGAGGTATTAACCCTAGAGAAATGAACGCCTCTGTCCGGAATGCTCACGGCAATTTATTCCCCCAAATTAAAAACTGAGTATCTGGGCGCCTGGGTGGCTCAGTTGGTTAAGCGACTGCCTTCGGCTCAGGTCATGATCCTGGAGTCCCAGGATCGAGTCCCGCATTGGGCTCCCTGCTCAGCGGGGAGTCTGCTTCTCCCTCTGACCTTCCCCCCTCTCCTGCTCTCTTTCTCAAATAAATAAAATCTTTAAAAAATAAAAAATAAATAAAAAAATAAAAACTGAGTATCCACCTACAGAAGAACAGACAAACAAAGACACAAGGCGGTACTGCTCAGTGATAAAATAGTGCGACCTACCGACTCATGCATTAACATGAATCTCAAACACGTTAAATGAAAACTGCAGAACTCTCAGCACCTAACACCTGTATCCAAAACTCCTGTGCCAAGAGTGATCAAACTTTAGCACAGATGGGCTTCTAACAGCATAAGCCTTGCTCCTAGAATCACCCCAGCCCGAGAGCATTAGACTACTTGCTGGAGAAAGTGCTACACAACCAGAATTTACTGTTTGTTCCAGCCCAAACCTGACAATAGGCCTTTAACCTCCCTTTCTTAACAGCATTTACTAAAAAGGGCTTACAACAGTGAATATTTATCTCTTACAACTCAGCAGGGTCCTTCTCAAGGACTCCACAGCCATTCCTCTGAAATGTAATCATCTGGAAGGACTCCCAGTCCCTGTGGGAAGATAGAATCTGAACTTCGAACTTCGGTAACTGCCTGCTACCATACTGTAGGCCTAACTGAATTTACAAACTAACCATTAGTGATTTTTCACTTCTCTGACTCTACTGAGCTCCCACTCTTCCCTCTTCTGCATTTGCCCTTTAAAAGGTCCCATCACCTCTGTGCAATTCGGAATGGAGCTCAGCTCTTTCTCCTACTGTAGTTACTGAATAAAATCCCATTCACCACTTTAATGTCCAGCTGCGTTTATTTTTGATACTGAGTGAAGAAGTCAGGCATAAAAGAATCTATACCGTGTGGATCCACTTGCGTGAAACTCTTAAAACAGGCAAAATTAAGCTCTGGTGATAGAAATCCAAACTGCCTCAAAGTAAGGATGTGGGGGCTTGCAGGAAAAAAGCAGAAGGGAACTTTCTAGGGTAATGGAAATGTTCTATAGCCTGATTGAAGTTTGGTTACAATCCAATGTATAACACACTCCAATGATAAATACATGTATGTATCTGTTTACCGAACTTTTTTAAAAAACATTTTTAAGTAATCTCTACACCCACTGTGGGGTTCGAACTTACAACCCTGAGATAAAGAGTGGCATGCTCTGCCGACTGAGCCAGCCAGGTGCCACCAATCTCATCAAAAAATCTTTAATTACTGGGAAACTGTCAAGCTCATGATGGTATATACAAGTTTTCCAAAATTTGGAATTTCACTCAAAACCTTGAATTTTATCATTGCCAACAAATATCGTGTTATTTTCCTTGATGTGACAGCACTTTATTTAAAGAAATTATCTGCCAAATACCCCTGTCTAACAAAAACAAAACAAAAACACAGCTCACAGCTCGATTACACAGGTTCTTTTCCTCAAGGTAATCAACACTTTGACAACCAGCAGAAACACTTTATACATAATTTCCATGTTGTTTCACAGAACATTAAAAAGACATGTACTCAGTGGTCAAGATTTAATAAAACTGACAGTCCTTATTGATTCATCAAGGACCTCTTTAAGTCAAAATCTTCTTTTTTTTTTTTTAAAGATTTTATTTATTTATTTGAGAGAGAGAGAGAGAATGAGAGAAAGCACGAGAGGGAAGAGGGTCAGAGGGAGCAGACTCCCCGCCGAGCAGGAAGCCCGATGCGGGACGCGGGACTCGATCCTGGGACTCCAGGATCATGACCTGAGCCGAAGGCAGTCGCTTAACCAACTGAGCCACCCAGGCGCCCTCAAAATCTTCTTTTAAAGTACAAGGCAGTAAGGAATAAAGTGACTCCCAGCAGAGTTTGGTGCCGCTGCCTCAATCTGTGCTAAAGGGACAGCAGTTTTACTCCTCCAATGCCTCTGCACCATCAGCACAACTATCAACAGAGTAAAAGAGCAAATAGCTCAGTATTATTATGGAAGTAGTTTTGACATCACAGATCCTCTGAAAGGGTCTGGGAAACCCCGGAGGGTCCAAGGACCACACTTTGAGAACTGAAAACTATGGAAGAATAGGAAATAAATTTAACTTGGACTGAGGGGTTCAGTTAAGAATTCCCAAAGGAAACAAGACTTAACACTGTAAGAGCCAAGAGACTAAGGGTGATCTGAATCTGTTTGCTCATTCTCTTATTCCCAATTTCTGCTCAGTGCCCAATACACAACAGGTGTGCAACCATATTGCTGAATGAATAAACGAGATGGTAACTACGCTGAGTCTAAACGGAAAAACAGAGCTACATACAGGATAAGCTTGGAGGCCATGCATTGGGCAAGATAGGGGGAGACGGGCTTGGAGCTTCCATACCCCCTCTGGGCTCATCATCCTCCTAGCACCTTGATGAGTTCATCAGTGGGCTGTTCTCCAAATCTCTCTACGAGTCTATAGCTTAGTCTCCTGTTCCACCCTCCACAGGCCAGACACACACTCATTGGTGGTGAGGGGGTGGGGCTGAAAGTTCCCACATTTTAATCATGTGTTTGATCATCCTGGTGACTGCCCCATTCTAAGGCTATCTAGGAGCCCTACCCTGAGTAACCTTAAAAGCATAGACTCAGGTGTGGACCGAAGGGGATAATTAATGAATAACAAGACACTCCTATCACTTAGGAAAATCCAAGTGTTTTAGGAGCTTTGCCAGAAACCAGGGACAAAGACCAAATATATATTTTTATTATACCACAAAAACATTCAGTAAATATAGCAATTAAGAATGAGAGAAGGAAAGATAGTTTAACTGATCAATTTGTTGTACAGAAAAAATCCTTTTGCTCAAAAATCCTGTTAATATTTTTATGATACATTTCATGATTATATCTATGGAGTGGATCATATATGAGTTACATTAATCTGTTTCCTAATAATTGAATCTTGGCGTTCTGGAATAAATCCCACTTGATCATACTGGATTCTACTTGCCAACATTTTATACAGTCTTTGATGTAATGTGAGATTGGTCTGTATTTTCTCCCAGTTTCATTTCTTTCCACAGATGGCCCCCAGACCTCCTCCCAAGCTTATCCTGTATGTAGCTCTGTTTTTCCGTTTAGACTCAGCGTAGTTACCATCTCGTTTATTCATTCAGCAATATGGTTGCACACCTGTTGTGTATCGGGCACTGAGCAGAAATGTTGCTTAGTTGTATCCCCTATAATAAAACTGGTAAACCCAAGTAAAGCATTTACCTGAGTTCATGAATTGTTCTAGCAAATTACTGAACTTGAGCCCAAGGGGGGCTGGAGGGGATACGTGGGAACACCAGAAATTGCAATTGGCTAGGCAGAAGTGTAGGTAGCCTGGGTGCCCCATTTGGGGCTGGTCTGAAGTGGGAGCAGACCTGTGGAACTGAGCCCTTAACCAGTGGGGTCTGTGCTAATTCTGGGGAGTTAGTGTCAGAATTGAATTGAATTGATGGGACACCTAGCTGGTGTCAGAGAACTGGAAAACTGCTTGATGTGGAGAAACCATACATTTCATGTCAGAAGTGGTGTTAGCAGGGGGTGCCTGGGTGGCTCAGTTGGTTAAGCGTCCAGGTCTTGATTTCGGCTCAGGTCATGATCTCAGGGTCGTGGGACTGAACTCCGAGTCGGACTCTGGGCTCAGCGAAGAATCTGTTCTAGATTCTCTCTCCCTTTCCCTCTGCCCCTCCCCCCAGCTCTCTCTCAAATTAGTAAAATCTTAAAAAGAGAGTGGTGTCAGAGGAAAGAAAACAGATGTTTTATAGTGCATATATTATAATGCAGTAAAGCATACAAAATTGAAAGTGTGCAATGAAAAAAAATTAGAGATGATGGCCCAAGAGTATCAACTGAAAATTATACTAACTGTAAGAGAATTCCATAAAAAGGCAGTGTAAAAAATTATACAACTCAATAGCTTTCACAATTTTAATCAATTAACAGGATAGACAGAGATGATAGCATGAAGAAAGGATCATTTACATTTACATCAGAAACAAAAAGATGTGGAGTGCCTGGTTGGCTCTGTTGGTAGAGCATGCAACTCTTTTTTTTTTTAGAGCATGCAACTGTTGATCTCAGGGTCATGAGTTTGAGTTCCATGTTGGACACAGACATTACCCAAAAAAAAAAAAAAGGAAAAAAACAAAAAAGATGAAATACCTAAAAATAACCTTCTCAGGATACACAAAATAAGATTTGAATACCCTATTCCTGGAGAAAAAAGCTAATGTAAATATTAAAGCTTTAATTCTCCCTAAATTCATAATTAATATGAATGAAAAAATACCAATAGTAATTTTTCAATCTGTGGGGGTTTTTTTAAGTTTTTATTTAAGTAATCTCTACACCCAATGTGGGGCCCAGCACAGAGCCTACTTAAAAAAAATAAAAATAATAATACGAAAGGAGGTGAAAAGGTAGCCAGATAAATGCCACTCTGGCATAAAGATCATTTTGAGCTGAAGACTGAGAGAAGATACAAGAAAAACTCTCTGCCTTCCCCACTATATGCCTAAAACAGAATTTTGTAAAGGTGCTCCCCATTGCCTATCAGCAAGGAAATTAATCATCAGAGAAAACTCTAGACCCCTATCCACCCAGAGTCAGCACCAGAGGAATCAACATAATAGTTTCCTAACTAGCCCTCATCTTCCATTAGTTCCCCCATATATCTTCCCACAATTGGCTGCCCCACAAGTACAAAGTGCTTTTCCACTGTCTTGTCATTTCTCTACAAAATTACTGCTCCTGTCAAGATGCTATGTAAGCTCAAGTTCTTCATTGCTGAAGCTGAGTGATGTATACGTGGAAGTCATCATACTATCCCCTTAGTTTTGTCTACATTTATATATAGCTGGTGTTTATCTATATACAGGAAAAAAAAGCAAGAATGGCAAGAAAGGGGGAGTGCCTGGGTGGTTCAGTTGGTTAAGCGTCCCTGTCTTAATTTTGGCTCAGGTCATGATCTCAGGTTGTGAGATCGAGCCCCACGTTGGGCTCTGCACGGGGTGTGGAGGCTGCTTAAGAGCTTAAGATTCTCTTCTTCTGCCCCCCCCAAAAATAAAAAAGAATGGCAAGAAAGGGGCAAATAGTGAGGGGAGAGTGTCCTACAAGATACTAAAAGATAGAATAAAGCCTCAATAATTAAAACTACAGCACTGGCACATAAAAAGAGACAGAACAAAGGAACAGAATAGTTAAGTCCAGCTACAGACCTAAATATAGGTAGGGGAATTCTGTATATGAGAAAGATGTCCCATTTCAATCACAGGAGAAAAGACAGACTGCTGAAGAAATGAAGTCAGAACATCTGGTAAGTCACCTGGAAAATAATTAAGTCAGATACTTAATTTCTACCTTACTCTAATTCTGATGTTTTGAAGATTAAAATGTTAAAAAAAAAAAAAAACTAGAAACAAGAACAATCTATAACTATTAGCAAAAGTATGGTTCTCACAAATACGAGCAAGAAAAAGCCAAACACTAAAGAAAGACATACTGGGCATGCCTGGCTGGCTCAGTCAGTAGAGCATGTGATGCTTGACCTCTGGGTTGTGAGTTCGAGCCCCACGCTCGGTATGGAGCCTACTTAAAATAAAAAGAAAGTTAGAAAGAAAAAAGGCATACTGTATAATTCCATTTATATAATATCAAAAATAGGCAAAGCTAATCTATGATGTTAAAAGTCAGGCCAATATGGGGGGGGTCCTGGCTGGCTTAGCTGGTGGAGCGTGAGAGGCTTAATCTGGGGGCTATGAGTTCAAGCCCCACGTTGGGTGTAGAAATTACTTAAAAATAAAATCTTTAAAAAAAAAGGCTAATGGGAGTAGGGAGAATGGTGGTGACTGGAAAGGAGCATGAGATGGGCTGTGGGGATGCTGTAATATTGTTTATCCATCTGGTCAGTTATATAGGTGTATTCAGTTTGTGAACATTCACTTATGATATATGCACTCTTTGGTTCAATAAAAGTTTTTATTTCCAAGCACACCTGCCTGGCTCAGTTCATAGAGCATGCAACTCTTGATCTCAAGGTGGTAAGTTCAAGCCCCACATTGGGTGTAGAGCTTACTTACAAAAAAAAAAAAAAAGTTTTCATTTCCAAATGTACTAGAAGAAAACAGAGTTATTTTACAATCTCAGAGTGGGCAAAGCCTTCCTAAGTATGACTTCCCAGAAGCCATAAAAAGTTAATAAATTTCACTACATAAAAATAAATTTCTAGAGTAAAACAAAAACAACCGAACAGAAAAATGGGTAAGAATATGAATGTACACATCCCAGAAAGGGACAAAACAAATAGCTCCACACATACAGAAATATGTTCAACTTCACTTATAATAAGAAAAAATGCAACTAATATGACAAGATATTTAAATTAGAAAAGACCAAAAAGTATGGTTATGCAATAAATGGGTAGAAGTGTGAGGAAAGAGGCACGCTCATACAATGCTAGTGAGTATAAACTGGCATAACCTCACTGGAGATCAATTTAGCAATAACTGTTAAAATTAAAAATGTACATATCCTTTGACAGAGCAGCATAACTTCTGGAAATTCACAGATATACTTGCACATGTGCAAAACAATAGATGCACAAGTATATTCACTGCTGCATTGTTTCTATTAACAAAAGACTAGAAATAACATAAATGTCTATCAACTGGAAATTGGTTAAATAAAGTAAATGTTAGAGAACATCTTTGCATGTATACATAAGAAAATGGTTTAAGGGCTGTTGATGTTGACCTGGCAAGTAAGACTAGACGGTTGGGAATCAGGGCTAAGAGGGACTTTCACACAGTATACCTCTCGTACTTTTTGAACCAGATACAAGACTTATTCTTTTTTAAAGATTTTATTTGACACAGTGAGAGAGAGATAGTGAGAGAGAGAGAGAGAGCAAAAGCAGAGGGAGCGGCAGGGAGGCAGAGGGAGAGGGAGAAGCAGGCAGGCTCCCCGCAGAGCAAGCAAGGATCCCGATGCGGGGCTGATTCCAGGACTCTAGAATCATGACCTGAGCTGAGCTGAAGGCAGCCGCTTAACCCACTGAGCCACCCAGGCGTCCCCAGATACAAGACTTATTAAAAACTGTTTTTAAGGGGCGCCTGGTGGCTCAGTCAGTTGAGTGGCTGCCTCTGGCTCAGGTCATGATCTTGGGGTCCTCGGATGGAGCCCAAGTAGGGATCCCTGCTCAGTGGGGTCCGATTCTCCCTCTCCCTCTCTCCCTCCTCCTTCCCGCTCGTGATCCCGCGATCTATCACTCTCAAACAACTAAAATATTTAAAAAACTGTTTTTAAGAGAAAAATGAGCAAGGGAGTTATGTGGGTTCAGAACCCAGTATGCCATGCTAAATAAACTCTACAGAGGACAAAAGAAAATTAATGAGATTTTATTTTTTTAAAGACTTTATTTATTTATTTGACAGAGAGAGACACAGCGAAAGAAGGAACAAAAGCCTGGGGAGTGGGAGAGGGAGAAGCAGGCTTCCCGCTGAGCAGGGAGCGGGATGCGGGGCTCAATCCCAGGACTCTGGGATCATGACCTGAGCCGAAGGCAGACGCTTAACGACTGAGCCACTCAGGTGTCCCAAATTAATGAGATTTTAAAGTAGAAAAATAAAAGTCAGATTTGTGCTCCCCAAACCATAGCAACCTTTAGGGAGGATAACTAAACGTTTATATAGGAGATCAGAATCTGCACTATACTTTCAGGTGTATTATCTGATTTACTCCTCAGATGAAGGAATTAAGGTGCAAAGAGAGGTTATCTGGTTTGCCTTAAGTTAACAAAGCTGTTCATGGCAAAACCAGGTCTTTTTACTAAAAACACGATCCAGGTAAATCACCAAGTTAGCAGTTCCCTACTCGGCTTTCTGTAAGTCCTCTAATGTAACCACACTCTAACCACCCCACTTTTGGAGATACATACGGGCGACAACCGGGCAAACGCTTGAAAATACGCTTATCTTTAGAATGAATACACTGGTAAAATTCGCACAAGGTAATGTGACTAGGTAAATGTAGAAAGAGTTCAAGAGACTGTAAATGTGTCAGTCCAGTTTCCCGACTCAGACCAGGTGGCTTTTTCCTTCAGCATTCCCCAGACAGGGACCTACAATACAGGGCGAAACGGGATCAAGCCTGAAGCACCTTACAGGGTAAAGCGGCAGGCTAGGCCGGAAGACCTGTGCAAGGAGAGAGAGAACATGAGAGAAGTGAGCCACCTACTCACACTCGTACTTCCGAATGGCTGGAGGATACTTGGCCTTGATCGCCTTCTGCTCTTCAGTCAAATTGTAATCCCGAATATCTTCCTCCTCCTGCGCCATAATTGCAGCACTCGACACTACTTCCGCTCTTCATTAGCCGGACTTCGGCTCTGAATTACAACTTCCGCTCTAGACTCCGCCCCCCCTTGGCACGCCCCCTTAAAGAACCAGGACTCCATTCTCGCCGATGTACTTTATACCCTAAGATTTCTATCCTAGGGCCTGCTGCTGGGAGCACATCTTTAATAGGCTTAGGCCCTATTTTCTGCGTTTACTTCATCCGTTCTAAGAAATAAGGAAAAAGAAATTGGAGGACCTAGGAGTAGGGAGACACTTGAACTAGACACCCCTATGTCTGAGTGGTTGGAATCCTTTTCTTTCCGCCTCACTCCCAGAGTTGTTAACTAGACCCGAAAGCATCCTACATTTCTCATCTGAGTATTTTGACAGTGTCGGGAGCTAAACGGCCTTTAAGAAAATGGCTGCCCCCCGGAGAGTGCGGACTAAACCTCTCACGTGACCCGGCGGTCGCACGCCCACCGGCTCCGCGCGCGCGCAATCGAAGGAAGTCGGCTCCGGGCCGTATGGGGGCAGGGGAGGGGCGCGCGCCTCGGACCCGCAGAAAGCGACTCTGCGTGTCTGGATAGGCTGCGAACGCGGCTTCCCCGCCCACCCTACCATTCGGGGCGCTCCGATTGGCCAGTGTTGGCGCGAAGGTGCGCGAGTCGGACCTCACGCAGGGGCAGCAGGAAACAATAGAGGCCGCGCGCGCAGAGCGAGCGCCCGTAGCCTCCCCGCCCCTCCCGCAACTCTCGACCCCGGGATCCCCCCAGCTTGCCTGCCCGCCATGGCCGACAAGGAAGGTGAGGGTGCTGGGGCCGCCCGAGGAGGACGGGGGGTGCCGGGCTGGGCCGCGGCCTCGACAGGGCCTAGCAGTGAAGACAAGCCCGACTCTTGAGTGCTGTCCCCACCATCGAAGGCGTGAGGAGAGATTGCCCCGCGGGGCGGGCTAACGGCGCGCCAGTTCCTCCGGCGCGGAGGCCTGTCGCCGCGGCGTGGAGCTGGTGGGGGGGCCCCGGCCGCTACTTGGTCCCTCCCCGCGCTCCCTGTCGGCCTGCCCGCCTCTCCCGGTTCTGCCTGCGCCGTTCCCCACCCCAGGGGCCGGTGTGCGGGCGTCCACGGGGGTTCTGTAGACTCAGCGCGAACGGGCGCGTGCTTGTGAGGCCCGGCGCCGTCGCCCGAACGGCTAACGGAGTGACTGGCCTGGCTAGCCCGAGAGTAATTGCGCGCTCGCGCGGGTGGAGAGGGTTGTTGGTACCTCCGCGGGGGGGAGATTTACACCTATCTCTTCCATTTCAGAATCTGGACTCGAGCAGGGCCGGTAGCTTTGGAAGTGTTGACTCGGTTTCCATTTGTGTTCGCTAACTTAATTTGTTTTTAACTTTTTAGCAGCCTTTGATGACGCAGTAGAAGAACGTGTGATCAACGAAGAGTACAAAATATGGAAAAAGAACACCCCTTTTCTCTACGATTTGGTGATGACCCATGCTCTGGAGTGGCCTAGCCTAACTGCACAGTGGCTTCCAGATGTAACCAGGTGATGTGAATCTTTTGAACGTTATCTTGTTGTGTCCTCCTCAGTGTAGATTTCTCACGTTGATTTTCCCTGTTTTCCTCCAGTCACCCAAAGCGAGCATGTGACCAAAACCTATTGGTGACTTTTTTTCTGGGCCAAAAAATAAGACAAAATGTAAAAATAGTTTTGCAATGTACCTGATAAGAGAAAACTTTTCCTGATAACGAATTGAATAGCCTGTTGTAACTACAGTTGACCAAATAATGTAAAATTTGTCAGCTTTCAAAAAAATTCTATGATGAGTTCAGTTTTTTCAGCAAAACATTGGAATCTAGAGGTGGTAGCTGGTTAGTACGAAGATTTATGTGACATGGTACTTGCCTTCAAGGAGCACACGTATAGTTGAAGAGGCTGATGTAAACTAATACTTACATGTGCTAAGAGCAGTTTTACAGAGATGCTTAGGATGTTTAGAACTAACCTGAAGGTGGGATGGTATTTATATAAGGGAATTGTGCATAGTGAGAGATTAATCACATGAAGGGTAGGTCTTACACCTGAGAAGCTTACCTCTAAGAAGATAAAATAGTACTTAAGTTTACCTTCCATTTATTTAGGGTCTGGTAGGTACCACATACCATGGTGTGTGAGTTTAGATAGACACCCTCCCAGCCTTGACTTCTTGTGTATATAGTATGGTACATATCCCCACCCCCCCTTATTTGTAGGGAATATGGCTGAGAATCCCCAGTGGATGCCTGAAACCATGGATAGTACTGAACTCTATATTATGTTTTTTCCTATACATAACTGCAGTAAAGCTTAATTTGTAAATTAGACACGTAAGAGGCTAATAATTAATACAGTGATTATAATAATATGCCATAATAAAAGCTATCTGATTGTGGTCTCTTGCTGTCAGAATCTTTCACTGTACTCACCCTTCTTGTGATGTCGTTGAGAAAATGTCTATGTGATGAAATAAAATGAAATGAATGACATGGGCATTGTGATGAAGTATTAGGCTACTATTGACCTCACGATAAGTCAGAAGGAAGATCATCTACTTCCAGAGGGGATTGTGGTTGACCGCGGGTAACTAAAACCACGGATGGGGGGTCTACTGTGTTAGAGTAAAAAATAATTTTAAGAGCGGCACAGATAAAATGATCACGGCAAGGAAAAATCACCTCAATCTAGGGTATCGTGAAAGGCTTCCAGGAGGAAGTGACAGTGCAAAGATGAAGGTGAATTTAAATACAAGATTTTATCAAGACCAATACGCCTGTTGGGATAATGGGTATTCTTTTATAAAATTGCTTCACCATTCAGAATAGCATTTAAAAATTATGTGCTGAATAATTTCTTCAAAATTCATGTCTTCAGAATTCAAGATCTTGCAGAATGTGGTTATTAGGCTATGTTTCAGCTCAACAAGTAATGGAAATTTGATACAAATTTTACTAATAACTTAAAGAGGTTGCTACCTTCACAGTGGCATTAAAAAATGAAGAAGTCTGCCCTAATGATGTTTACCAAACTCCTAATAAATACCTAGAAATTTAGAGTCGGAAGCTTCATCATGACCAGGAGTTCCCATGTTCAACTAATAGATGATCAGAATTTTTTAAGTTCAGTGTGCCTGGGTGGCATAGTTGGTTAATTGCCCAACTCTTGGTTTCTGCTCAGGTTGTGATCTCAGGGTTGTGAGATCGAGCCCCACCTAGGGCTCTGCATGGGTGTCTCCTTAAGCTGCTCTCTCCCTCTGCACCTCCCCCCACACTCTTTCTAAAAATAAATAATAATTTTTTTAAAGAATTATTTGAGTTCAGGTTAAGTGGAGTCATTTGTCTCAGGAGTGCTCAGTAATAATCAAACCATTTAGGAACTGGTGGCAGAGTACTTGATGGAAAATAGTTGAATGGTGGTTCCACAGTCGTGAGCTGTATCATATTCGATCAGTGGATCAACATTGGCCACCCCACACCTACTAAATCATTCTGGAGCCATATTTTTAAAAACCTTCCTATATAATGCAGTAATTAGCTCAACTTGAAAAGCAGTGAATTAGACTAAATTCCCCAAGGTTGAAATCTGTGTTATCTTAGTAACTTTCTACTTCAGCAGAACTAGGTAAATAAACCTTTTTGTAGTGTTTGACGTTGGTCCAAATACCCAGCCTCTACCTTCCTTTTTTTGGATTCCACACATATAACAATGCTAATTTTTTTTACATTTTATTTATTTATTTTGAGTGAGAGTGGGAGGAGGCAAAATCTTCAAGCAGCCTCCTGCTGAGCTCAGAGCCCCACACAGGGCTCAGTCCCACGACCCATGAGATCATGACCTGAGCTGAAATCATGAGTTGGACTCTTAACCGGCTGAGCCACCCAGGTGCCCCAGCAGTACTAATTTTCTTTTTAAGATGAGGATTACTTAGAAGCAAGCATACCTAATATCAAGTGTTTAATTTTTTTGTGTCTGTTGGTGTCTTTTTTTCATTCTTTTTTTTGTGTGTGGTGGTAGTGGTGGTATTTATTCATATCTTTTTTTTTTTTTAAATACAATTGTAGTTCTGTAATACTTTTCTTCCCTCACTTCCTGTGGTTCTTTGTTTACCCTAAATGCAGGCATTCCCAGTTTTGTGTTGACAGCTCTCTTTCTTTCCTCTACTTTTTTTTTTTTTTTTAAGATGTTATTTGACAGAGACACAGTGAGGGAGGGAACACAAGCAGGGGGAGTGGGAGAGGGAGAAGCAGGCTTCCCGCCGAGCAGGGACTCGATCCCAGGACCTGGGATCATGACCTGAGCCGAAGGCAGGCGCTTAACGACTGAGCCACCCAGGTGCCTTCTACTTTTTCTATGTAGGATATAGATATCTATTGCCTCTGTGCAGAGGAATTCCTATTGGTTATCTCTAGACCCAACTTCTGAGCTTTTCCTGAATTTTCAACTGCCTGCTGGTGTCTTCTCTGGAGTATCTTAACAGTCTTCCCCAACATCACATGTTCCAGACTGAGTATATACTTTCCATAGAGTCCCACTCCAGCTTTCTCCTATTGTTCCTATTTCTCTTTATCATAGTTGACTTTGGCTTGACATTTCCTAGGTTTTTCTCTTTTTTTTACTTAGTTCATTTACAAGCTCCAGTGGATTCTCTTATGTTATATCTTTTCTAGACCAGAGGTTCTCAGACTTGAACATGTATCATAATCAGCTGGAGGGATTCTAAGATAGGCCATTGTGCCCAACATCCCAGGTTCCTAATTTAGTAGGTTGGAGTGGATCTGAGAATTTAATTTGCCTTTCTAGCTGAAGTTCCTAGGTGATGCTGATGCTGTTGGTCATGATACCACACTTGAAGAACCTCTGCTTTACACTGTTAGATTAAGCCTTCTGTGGTAATTCAGATGGTGTTAGGTTCCTTAGAAATTTTCCATGGTCCCTTGTTCCCCCTGCAGTCTAGAGTCGTGAAGGCCTTAAGGTGGCATTCAGCGCCCTAGAATCTGTTTTTTAGCCTTCTCTCTTTGACTTCATTTTCCCACATCCAAAGTCAAATTGGGATATCAGTCCTAGTAGTTGTATGATCTTAAGCAAGTTTGCCTACTTTTCCTAAACGTCAAGTATCTTCATCTTTAAGTGATACATGGTTTGTAAACAGCTTAGGTGTCTGGGATTTTGTGGACTTGCCCTATGCTCAATTCCCTTTCCTTGGAATACTGTTTACCAGAGCCCTTGTCTCTTCTGGGTTTTAGCTCTCATTTTGATGTCTGCTGAAGTACCACCTCTTTAACGGACACTTCCTTAATTCCAGAAGTAATCTTTCTCATATAAACTCCCATCTTCTTGTGTGCCTTTCATGTAATATTGGTTGACTTTTTTTTTCTCCTTAGCTAATTGATTTTTTTAAATTTTATTATGTTAATCACCATACATTACATCATTACATTTTGATGTAGTGTTCCATGATTCATTGTTTGCGTATAACACCCAGTGCTCCATTCAGTACATGCCCTCTTTAATACTCATCACCAGTCTAACCCATCCCCCCACCCCCCTCCCCTCTAGAACCCTCAGTTTGTTTCTCAGAGTCCATAGTCTTTCATGGTTCATCTCCCCGTCCGACTTATATTTTAGTTATTTATGTACGTGACTATCTAATTGCCTCTAGCTTTTCGAGTGCACGAATCATGTCTTAATCATTTTTGTACTTCATTGTATTTGGCGCAATTTGTCTACTGTTTAGGTACTCGGTAAATATTTGAACAATTAGTTTACCTAATGTTATTTTCTTTCCTTTACCTTTTAATGAAGTAACCTAAAGTGTTAGTGTATCCAGCAATTGTTTTCTTTACCCCCAACGTATTGTAAAGGGTGAGTAATTAATTCACATTTTATTCCGTTAGAATTTTTCCCCAAAGGAATTGTAAATTTTTGGCCAACTTAAGAAATATTTACAAAACTAAGTGCTGTGTGATCCTCCTTATACTCCTCTTTGGAAGATACAATAAAAGTCAGAAATATGGGGATGCCTGGGTGGCTTAGTTAAGCATCTCTCTACGGCTCAAGTCATGATCCCAGAGTCTTGGAATCAAGTCCCACATCAGCCTCCTTGTGCAGCGGGGAGCCTCCTTCTCCCTCTGCCTGCCACTCCCCCTGCTTGTGCGCTCTCTCTTTCTCTCTCTCTCTCTCTCTGACAAAATCTTAAAAAGTCAGAAATGTGGCTTTTTTGTTTGTTTGTTTTTAAAGATTTATTGATTTATTTGACAGCACAAGCAGGGGGAGCGGCAAGGAGAGGGAGAAGCAGGCTCCCTGTGGAGCAGGGACCCCGATTCGGGGCTCGATCCCTGGATGCCAGGATCATGACCTGAGCCGAAAGCAGACGCTTAACCGACTGAGCCACCCAGGCATCCCAGAAATGTGGCTCTTGATAAGTTTTTCTTCCCAAAACCTAGTTGTAATAGTGCCTTTTGCATACCGTGTATATCACTGACTTCATTGTCTCTCTTAGTGTTACTAATTTGAATAGTGACCATGTATTGCTATTACAGACCGGAAGGGAAAGACTTCAGCATTCATCGACTTGTCCTGGGAACACATACGTCAGATGAACAAAACCATCTTGTGATAGCCAGTGTGCAGCTCCCTAACGATGATGCTCAGTTTGATGCCTCACACTACGACAGTGAGAAAGGAGGTAGGAATCTTCAGACTGAAAGAAGGAATGATGTATGGGTTATATCTTTCATACCTTTGAATTATCATGAAAAGGGTGTAAAGTTTGATTAAGTAGCCTGTCTAATTAGTAATAAGATTTTGAGCTTTGGAAACCCTGCGTTTGTAATACAGATATTAGATATCAGAAGACATACTTAATGCATACTTGGTTCTGTGTCTTTTCTAGAAACCTTCCTCTACTAGTTGGGGGGGGTCTAGAATTGAAAGAAGCTAAAATCCACCATTCATTCATTTTTTTTTTTTTTTTAAGTTATATTTATGTAATCTCTACACTCAGTGTGGGGCTCGAACTCAACCCTGAGACCCTGAGATCAAGAGTCGTATGGTCTTCTGACTGAGCCAGCCAGGTGCCCCTTTATTGGGGGGAAGGGAGGGCTTTTTTTTTTTCCAGCTTTATTGAGACGTAATTGACATATAACATTGTGTAAGTTTAAGTTGTACAAGGTGTTGATTTGATACACTCATATATTGCAAATTATTACCATCATAGGTTTTTTTGTTTTTTTAAGATTTTAAGTAATCTCTATACTCAACTGACAACCCCGAGATCGAGAGTCACATTCTCTACCAACTAAGCCAGCCAGGTGCCTCCAGAGTCCACCGTTTATTACTGCTGTGCATACATGCATTTGTGCATTCTCAGCATGGGAGATAATTGCCCCAAGGGGATGAAAATTGGTTCTTGGAAAGGGGGATGTGTGAAAATAATCTTAATTCTTTTTTTCTTTTTTTTTTTAGATTTTATTTATTTATTTGACAGAGAGAGACACAGCAAGAGAGGGAACACAACGGGGCGCCTGGGTGGCTCAGTCGTTAAGCGTGTGCCTTCGGCTCAGGTCATGATCCCAGGGTCCTGGGATCGAGCCCCGTGTGGGCTCCCTGCTTCCGCGTGGAGCCTGCTTCTCCCTCTCCCACTCCCCCTGCTTGTGTTTCCTCTTTTTTTTTTTTTTCTTAAAGATTTTATTTATTTATTTGATAGAGACACAGTGAGAGAGGGAACACAAGCAGGGGGAGTGGGAGAGGGAGAAGCAGGCTTCCCGCTGAGCAGGGAGCCCGATGCGGGGCTCGATCCCAGGACCATGGGATCATGACCTGAGCCGAAGGCAGGCGCCTAACGACTGAGCCACCCAGGCACCCCAACAATCTTTATTCTTTAAACGTATAAAGCACAGGTATACATGGTATACATAAATACACAGGATATCTGTGGTATTAAAATTTCATCAGGAGTATCAGAAAAGATGTCTTACAAGGTTTTTTAGAGGGGGGGAAAAAAGATTGAGAAACAATGACTTAAATTACCCTTTCCATTTTGAAGTGGTAGAAATGACTTAATCATGACACTTGATATGTATATAAAAATTAAATGAGCCATTTAATTCTATATTAGGTAATCTAAGGGTTTAGCTGTTCATGAAATACTTAACTCTTTTCCTTTTAATAGAGGTAGAAATGGATGAGTTACCTTTGTTGTTATCCCTAAACTCAATATCAAGAGATAAAAGATATGCTCTCATTAAGATGTGTGATCTAAAAAGTGGATGTTTACTGTTTCTTAAATTTCTCCTGATTAGTAGAATCCATTCTTAGATTATCTAAATTCTTTTGGGCTCCAATTACTTGCCAGGATTCTTGTGTGCAGTTAATCTTTTGATCACTCCATATTTCCTTAGGGTGATACAGAATGCAAAGTAGTAAGTTCTTAAGATAAAGGTCCACAAATACAATTCTGTGTCACTGACCCAACTATGCTTGATACAATTATTGGGAAGTTATTCTCTGGGTAGACATTAGTGTTGGGGTGGGGGTGGGGATGGACACTGAACTTAAGAGGTCTTGAGCTTGAGATCCTGTTATGTCACTCACTAGCTGTGTGGTTTTGGATAAATCATTTAGCTTCTCTGAGCATCAGCTTCCTTTCTATTAAATGAAGATAAATTATTTTTAAATAGGATTTTTGGTTATTTAGTGACAAAGGAAATACTCTGATTGGTAATGTAATAAGTTTTTTTTTAGAAATCAAAGCAAATAGAGAACCATGGACCCTGCCACTGCCATAAACCTATCTTCTACATGTAGATCACTGTTAAATTGTTTTTTGAATGATTTATCCCATTTATTGGCTCACTCATTCAACATATATGCTGAGTACTTATTGTACGCCAGGCTTTTTTCTTGGTACTAAGGATGCAGCATAGAATATGCTTTTCTGACCTGATGTATCTTGGACATCTTTTTGTGTAAGATGTGTCTCCTTTTGATGGTTGTATACTGTGTCATAATTAACCATCCCTTATTTGACATTTAAGTGGTTTCCAATTTTCTGGCTTGAAAAACAGTTCTTGTACCATATGTCTTGCATAGTTTTGCTATAAAATAATTTTCTAAGTGGAATGCTGATCAAAGGGCAAGAACGTTTTCAAGTAAAATTAATAGCTGCTGTTGCCCTCCAAAAAAGATCCACAGTCCCACCAATAGCGATGTATTTATGTGTATTTCTCCATGTCCTTGCCAACATTGGATTTACTTGTCCCAACTTTCATCTGATACCCTTCAGATTTTGTGTCATTCTTGGAAACGCTTTTATCATTCCAAGATTTTAAAATATTTACCTGTTATTTTCTGGTGCTTTATGTTTTGGCCATTAAAACTGTAATCTTTCTGGAATTTGTTTTGGCATTGGGTACGGAGTAGGAATCCAAGCATTTTTCTAAGTGGTTAGCAATTTTTTATTTTTTATTGATTTTTAAAGATTTTATTTATTCATTAGAGAGAGAGAGCACGGCGGGGGGGGGGTCAGAGGGAGAAGCAGACTCCCTGCTGAGCAGGGAGCCTGATGCAGGACTCGATCCCGGGACTCCGGGATCATGACCTGAGCCAAAGGCAGTCGCTTAACCAACTGAGCCACCCAGGCGCCCAGTTAGCAATTTTTTAAAAATACTATTTGCTGGGGGCACCTGGGTGGCTCAGTTGGTTAAGCTTAATTCCGACTCTTGATCAGTTCAGGTCTTGATATCAGTGTGGTCAGTTCAAGCCCTGCATTGGGCTCCATGCTAGGCGTGGAGGCTACTTAAAAAAATTCCGGGGTGCCTGGGTGGCTCAGTCATTACGCATCTGCCTTCGGCTCAGGTCATGATCCCAGGGTCCTGGGATCGAGCCCCACATAGGGCTCCCTGCTCAGCGGGAAGCCTGCTTCTCCCTCTCCCGCTCCCCCTGCTTGTGTTCCTGCTCTCGCTATCTCTCTCTCTGTCAAATAAATAAAATCTTTTAAAAAAAAAAAATTCCATTTGCTGGCAAATTGTTTTCTTCACTGGTTGTTGAAGTGGCATTTTTTTTTTTTTAAACATATGTACTCATCTTTTTCTGGTAACTGAGTTTTTTGAATAACATCAAACCAACTTTTGCTTTATCCCCCTTAATTAATGCTTAATTACAGAGGAACAATTAAAAAAATACTTTAATAATGCGTGATATATTTGTACAACTATATAAATCACCCTATTTAATCCTCATAGGGAAACTGATACTCAATAGTTGTTTTGTAACTTGCCCTAAAGTTACAGAGCTTATCTCACTTTCTCTCTCTTCTCTTCCTTTTACTCCTCCCCCCCCCCTTTCAGATCACTGGATAGGCTTGGTGCTTTAAAGAGGGGTGGTGCTCTCTTCTGTATGGTCTTAACAATGGTGGAGGTAGATAATATCCTAATGTCTCTTGGGTGGTTATTAGGTATCTTCAGGAACACTCACATTCCATTCCTAGCTTACTAGTCAGTCTTGCTCTCAGGTGAAATATCCTGGGCTCTCAGATTGAACTATTGTAATTAGTTACCATCCACTTGACCCCGTTTGGTTTTAGGTAATGGATGGCAGACAGCTTCAAAAGATCATTGGACTTTCAGAGTGAAAACTGAAAACTGGCTTTGCCCTGTTTTGACAGTAAAAAGAATTTGTGTGTTTATATTAGGGTCAGCCTGGCTATAGTCACATTATAAGCCCCTTGTCAAATAGATTAGGTGTAAAATTTTACTTATGACGCTGTTAGCAAGATCTTTCAATATCAACAAGTTTATTTTTAGCAATTTATTTGGAGAATTTTTTTAGGATATTTTTAGTCTTTTCTGAATTGTATAAAATAAACTTATTAAATCATGGTGAGATAATTGAATATTTGTTGTTAGAGTTTACTCTTTTTTGATAAAAAGGTGTTTATGGACTCAAAGAGTGGCTTACAGGTAGAAATCACTGCTGGTTACCTGTTTGTGGGGGAGGGTGGATATTTGTTGGGAGGGACATGATAGTACCTTCTGGGAAGCTGGAGATGTTCTATATTTTGATCTGGGTGCTGGTTTTCCTGTTGTGTACATTTGTAAAAATTTGTCAAGCTAGGCACTTTTAGTACATTATAGCTCAAGTTCCCCCCCAAAGTTTTGTGGGTTTTTTTTTTTTAAGATTTTATTTATTTATTTGACAGAGAGACAGCGAGAGAGGGAACACAAGCAGAGGGAGTGGGAGAGGGAGAAGCAGGCCTCCCGCCGAGCAGTGAGCCCGACGCGGGGCTTGATCCCAGGACCCTGGGATCATGACCTGAGCGGAAGGCAGACGCTGAACAACTGAGCCACCCAGGCGCCCCCCCCCCAAGTTTTTTTAATAGTGTTTTATATGGAGAGAAGCAAACAAAATAGGAATACAACTGGACCTTGGTAGTCATTTATTGTACATTGATACCTCAGTCTTTGTTTCCTGCTTCAGATTTGGCCTTTCATCTGTCAGCTTCCGCTTGGGAACTCCTAATTATTTTTTAAATAGATGAGTCCTCATCTTTGTAAAAACTCCATTGTGAATCGTCTAAGCTGACTTACTACTGTATTTTAACAGCAGTTGGGGAGACACCGTCTGTTTAGTATGTCTCCAATACCAAAATACCCCACATTATGTAGTCTGTGCCCTTGCTCTGCGGGCTCGGCAGCAGCTGTTCCCTTCCCTTGTCATCGGGATCGCTTTTTTGGCAGTTAGGCTTTTTTGTCATAGTCATCTGTAGTTCTGTTTTCTCTCTCTGTGTTTACACTGAAAGTTTCTTGCAATCCCCTATCTTATGCCTTCTTTTTTACCTTGTAGATACTCAAGGTCTAGAGTTCTGGGGGAAAATTCGTTTAATGTGGGATTGTTTTCTCCTTTAGAGTCTATTCTGAGTTTTTAGCTTTAGATTTTTAGTCTTTATGAAACATTTGCATTTCAACTGTAAAAAGTTATTTGGAAATTGAAAGTTATCTAATCTGCCAACCATATTACCCATCTTATGTCCTTGCTTTTTGAAAAGATTTTTGTCCTTCAAAGTGTGACACTTGTATAACAGTGCTGTTGACAGGGTTTTAATTTATAAGTTACTCTCACAACTTTTCTTTATGGAGAAGATATTTGAGACTTAGAAATTGAAGGCCTTCCCCAAATCACCAAGCTTTGGCAGTCAGTTAGGCCAAGGTCCGACTCTTAAGTATCTTACCATGCTGCTTTTTGTAATTCTTCGACTAATCATTAACTACCTTTGTTTATATGTTGTTTTGCCAGGATTTACATAATCACAAATTATATTGTTATACATTTTATAATGGCACTTGGGAGAATTAAGTGCGTACAGTAGTCAAATGTGAATGAAAATGTTTTTATCTAGTCCTTGCCTGCCTGGTTTATTTCAGCTAATGATTGTGGTTGGCACGTATAAGTGGGGGTTAAGGAAAATGGAACTAGCTATTGTGGCTCTGTTTTTCTTCACTGGACTAAGAGAAATGGTACAGGGAAAAGATAACGGTGTGATGGTATTTCAGGAAGGTCATTCCAAACTACAGCTTCAAATAGATGGTGTAAAGGGGACTCTTTAGTATCTGGCACACTGTGTACTTTAATATTCATTAAAATAGTAACTTAAGGGGCACATGGCTGGAGTAGATAGTTGAGCATCTTGAGTCTTGGTTTCGGCTCGGGTTGTGGTCTTGGGATTGGGCCCCACGTCTGGCTCTGCACTCAGTGCAGAGTCTGCTTGGGATTCTCTCTCTCTCCCTCCGCCCCTCCTCATGCTCACATGCACGTGCTCTCTCCCTGGCTCTCTCTCAAATCTTAAAAAAATAGTAACTTGGGTTTTATTTATTCAGCACTTTTTGTTACTTTAGATGAGATATGAAAATTGCTTATTGAGAATCTACTTTCGAAGTGGAAATGGTAGTGTTCCTTACTTTTAGATAGTTAATACTAGGTATAGCTGAAAGAGTATTAGGCTAGGAATCAGGAAAATGGGAATTCACATTAGGTTCAGCCATAGTCCTGTTACTAAGAACAGATTAGTGTAGGTACTCCAAATTTCTGTTTTTCTTGGTAAAATTTGGGGGGATATTAACCGTTTTCCTTACTGTGTAGGGCTGCAGTAAGAATCAAATGAAATAAGAGGTATGAAAACACTTTATACTATTAACAAATGTCTAGATTATTTCTAGTATTATACCAGTTTGCTGATAAAAAGCTTGCCTGTGTCATAATTTGAGTGACAGAGTAGCTCTTGCTTTGTCCTCATTTGCAATTTCTTATTTACAGAATTTGGAGGTTTTGGCTCAGTTAGTGGAAAAATTGAAATAGAAATCAAGATCAACCATGAAGGAGAAGTAAACCGGGCACGTTATATGCCCCAGAACCCTTGCATCATTGCAACAAAGACTCCATCCAGTGATGTTCTTGTTTTTGACTATACAAAACATCCTTCCAAACCAG